TTAAAGTGATTGAAGTGATTAATTAAAGTGATTGAAGTGATTAATTAAAGTGATTGAAGTGATTAATTAAAGTGATAAACAATTATAACTCAAAACTCTGTCGTGGGGCCGCATTGGACTGGTCTTCAGAGGCCTCCGCAAATTTGAAAAAAAAAAGAGGGCTTTTACTGAGTTTTAGGCATTGGAGATGGAGGGGAGGCTGGGAAGCGCAGGATTTAGGACCTTTGTGTAGTATCACTCAGCTACCGGGATACTATTGTCCTTGTGACGAAGTGAGGACGGAGTTACAATGTAGGGCATGATATAGTTATTTAGGTAGATCATACCCAGGATGGTGCCGTTTTCCGCGGATTAATCCGGCGTAAACGAGACTCCAAGCCCTTCTACTGGCGTACAACGCGGCGTACAAAGAGCTAAAATAACGTTATTGGCGCACACGCCCGGCGTACGTCCGCATCTGGCTTGTCTCGACCTCGACGTACGTCTGCATCTGGGCGATCTGGCTTGTCCTGACGTACCGTACGTCCGCATCTGGCTTTGAATAGAATAGAAGTGTTGGCGTTGAAGACATAGGCCCATGGCCTGTTGCCTTGGTGTACGTTTGCATATGGGTGATCTGGCTTGTCCTGACGTACCGTACGTCCGCATCTGGCTTGCCTAGGCGTACGTCCGCATCAGGGTGATCTGGCTTGTCCCGACGTACGTCTTCATTTGGTTTTAAACATTTTAGTGCATACTAATGCGTTTTAAGGCAATTTAGGGCCTTCTAATGCGATCTAGTGCGTTCTATTACAATCTAGTGCGTTCTATTACGAAGGGAGCGCAGCCGTGCACCACAAATTTTGTACCCCAATAAGCCCTGAATCGAACGCCTTGGATCTTTCCGGACATCCACCAATCAGCCGTGAATGGAATCTGCTATCCGTAACCGATCATTGACATCCTTCTGCTTTGAATATTTTGAGCTCCACACCCCCCTGGTGATGGCTGGTTGGCTGCTATGTCAATGTGAATGTGGCGTGGGTTAATACCTAGTGTGGTGTGAGCCTTTAGGTATTTCATTTTACTTCTGCTGAAGTTCTGACCTATGCTTTGATGCTCTTAGCCTCTTACCGTCTGGACTCTGGCATCTTACTCTGCTATGATGCTTAACAATTACCCAGGGTGCAGAAGGTCTGAAGGTGGATGCAGCATTGCCAATATATGGGTTTTTAAGCCCTAAACGTCGCCGGGTAATTTTAAGATGTGTCGCCGGGTAATTGTTAATGAAAAGCCATTTACGCTGAGTAATGAAAAACTATTTACAAGCCACAAACTTATTTACAAGGTTGCATGCACGTGTTACCCCAAAGCCCAAATAACTAATTTTACCCTGAAAACAGTCCGATTGTAGACTGTAGAGCAAGTGTCAACTCACTCAACTGATTGAACTGAACATGTGATAATGCAGTCTGACCACTCTAATGTGACCACAACTACGTAATCGTTAAATCATAAACTTGATGTTTACATTTTTTTGGCGGGAACTCTTCGTAACTGATTTACGGACAAGCTTCACTGCATGCTGATCCATCCAACATACCGGAAACCTCACTTGTTTTAAATAATTGGCCAAAGACTGACAAATATATTAAATGCAAGAATTTAAATCTAAATGTGTTGGCAAGATCTTCTGAAGGTGTAAATTTTGCTACTGAAGCATCGCCAAATATCTTGCAATATTCATCCACTCTCTGCACAGTGGACAATTACTATGCTTGAATCTGGTCTCTAAGATTTTCAAATATTTCCTAACTAGTTGGCAACTTGGGCACTTGGCCAAAGACTGGTGAATACCTAAAATAAATGTCTTGGCAAGATCTTCTGGAGGCGTAAATTCTGCTGCCAATCTGTTCCCAATGATCTTGCAATATTCACCCACTTTCTGCAGACTGCACCCTGGCGCAACAGTGCACCACTAATTTTGTACGCCAATTAGCCCTGAATAGACCATCTATCATATTTCCATAAGGCAGCAATCAGCCACATATTAATCTGGCTGTCCATAAACAGTAAGTTGGTAACCAGCCCATGACATCATTTTGTTTTAAATATCTAGAGCTTTATGCCAGTAACGCTACCAGATTGACAAGCTCAAGGCTGGTGTGGGGCAGAAACTGGAGGCAGTGCAGACTGCAGAGGACCTTCATGTACAGGATCAGCCGCACGAGGGAGCTGAACCTGAACAACTAGGAAAGGCTGAAACACCTGGGACTGTACTCACTGGAAAGGAGAAGAGAAAGGTATATCAGACTGTACACTTGGAAGATGGTAACCGGACTGGCTCCCAACTTTGAATGCAGGACCTCCAAACTTGCAAGGTTTTACAAGTGGAGGGTGAGATGGTGCAGGATTCCCAGATTCAATAACCAAGCCTTGGCCAGAGTACAGACTTTTTGTGAAGGATCACTGTCTGTGGTAGGACCAAGGCTGTAGGCCTTCCCAAAAAGTGCTCATAGGAGGGGATTACCTATGATTCTTTCAAGAGACAACTGGATAAGTTTCTGAAGAAGATCCCAGATTGTTCAGTAATGGGAAACCACCCTCAGCAAGTGACAAGCAACAGCATCTTGCATCAGCTGGCCCATAGGAGGGCAAATAGACAGAACACGTCCAACGTTACATCCAGGACCCGATGGTGGGGTGACCTGCTTAGTGACGACTTGGAGACGGAGGACGACGAAGGTGGAGCACCAGCTTGACCTTGGACTACAAAGTCCTAAACTCATCTTAAGGTCTTAACCTCATAAGGTAGAACACAAATTAAATTAAATTAAAAATTAATTAGGCAATTCAAGTCCTTCATTTGTCTCTATGCAATGTGAGAGATAACCAACAAAATATATAGTATTCCTAGCCTGTTATTTTTTAGCAAGGCAATTAGCCATCCCATCCAATAGCCTAATCACCTAAATAGTCAAAAGTGTAATTAATCCACTTAGTAACAATTTAGATAGTGATTATTTAAACAAATGTTCCATCAATCAGCACTGCCAAGAGCCTAGCAGTATGAGAATATGGGAATCAAGTTTTGCAACTATTCATGTCCCGAAATAAATTTCAGCTGCACCAAAGATTTGGTACTTAGTGTACAGTACTCGTTGCTAGTTTATATATAAGTGGATTAATGCCACTTTAGCTGTTTGGCTATCTTGCATTGGAAGTCAAACATGAACATGACCAATGACGTGAAAGTTTTCCATCATGGCAAAGTTGACAAAGTCAAATCAGAAAGAAGCAGTATTAGTACTATCTCAAAAAGGCATAGTAGGTACTAAAAGAACAAGGGAACATCAACAGAGGTAAATATGTAAATAAATATATAAACAGACACTCATACAAGAGGTTTACAAAAGATGGCCATTTGTGCAAGGAACAGTTGCAGAATGTAAAGAACCCTGCCTACATATAAATTCAACCAACAAGTGATCCCCACAGTCACATAATGCAAGCTCTGTGGTGGGGCACTAATGAAAATAGCTTCTAACAATGTGAAATTCCATAGTAATTTGGATTGGGACAAAAATTGTCAGGGCATCAGGAGACAATAAAATTAACTGTCTAATGGATGGGTAATTCACAGATAACAATATTTCAATGAATAACTTCAAAGAAATCGTGACACTAATACCATTACTTGACTTGTACACTGAAAAGAGGTGAAGTTCCAAAAGAGAAAATACAAGGTTTCTCAAGGTTGTGCAATGTGCATACTATTTTGATTGTGCAGTTGTACTTCCTTCAAGGTAATCAGCCAGTAATACATGATGCTTTCACCACCCAAACAGACACTACACTCTAGAAGATGTTGATGTGTATGCTATAACTATTTCAACTTTTAGTCAATAATTTATTTATTTATAATGAAGTGGTGGAAAAATTTTTCAATTAGCAGCAGAGAAATGCTCAAGCTGCTGAGCATTGCTGGAGCTGCTGGAAGCATTGGCTATGCTTCAGCTCTTCATCACGCAGCTATTGATGACCAAAGAAGGAAGTATGATGGTAAATCCATACAGCTTTACTGAATTATAATTTTTATATGGCCTTAAATTAGGAGTTGATTCAATATTTCAATGTCCTAAGGGATCTTATTTCAATAAGCTTTCGATATAATGTCAGGGTTTGAATGTAACTTGTCTATAAATAGAACTATAATGTAACTATAATGAACAAAGAATATAAATAAAAAGAACAAAGTATGGTCCCAGATCCACACGTGCCTAATCTGTGATCGGATGATATGTAACTATAAAATTTGTTGTTTCTATTCTTCAGATTCTGTATTTCAAGTGGAAAGAGATGAATCAGTAGCTGTGTTTCCTCCATCTCTGTTCTCACGAGTGTCTGCAGCAACAAAAGTGAAAGACTCTTTGATTATCCATCAGGCAAATGTGATTCCTGAACCATCTCAAAATGCTCCCAGAATTTCTCAGGTAAGAAAGTTTTAATGTCCTCATATTGCATCATGAGCTTTGAAGTTTTTGTTAGCTGAGGTGACTCAGTTGACTTTTTATGAATACCAGCACTGATTTAATAAGCATAAGAAAATATCTTGCAAATGTTGCCCTGAGGCTTTCTGATGTGGCAAAGTTTTCCAATCTCATAGCAACTTTATCTTAGTAAATGAAGCATGTGTTGTGAGATACTACATCAGTATACAATGTAGGCAATAAATCCAATTTATCCAATGAAATATGATCATAATTTTGCAAAATGAGCAGTCATGTAAGTGAAGATATTGCTCATTATTGGGTTTTATTAAGCCATGTTGCTGTGTATCTTGTGTTTTTGTGATTGAATTGCTTGCTTGCAAAGAAAGCATATAAATGTAAATCGTATGGTTTTGTTATTGTACAAATAATAAGATTTGTACTCCATTTACAGATCATGCGTTATGGCTTCCCCAGCTTATCCAACATCCGTTCTTTAGATGACTTTGTATTAGCCTATGACACACGCTTGAGGATTCCACAGTGGGTGTTTGAACACCTCACTCCAGCCTCTGTGGCTAAAAATGATCAAGTGGACCGTTCAAAATGTGACTTTCATGAAGATGGTTCAGTACATCACTATTTCAGGTTTGTTCAAAATGTGACTTTCATGAAGACGGTTCAGTACATCACTATTTCAGGTTTGTTCAAAATGTGACTTTCATGAAGACGGTTCAGTGCATCAATACTTCAGGTTTGTTCAAAATGTGACTTTCATGAAGACGGTTCAGAGGTTCAGTACATCAATATTTCAGGTTTGTTCAAAATGTGACTTTCATGAAGACGGTTCAGTGCATCAATATATCAGGTCTGTTCAAAATGTGACTTTCATGAAGACGGTTCAGTGCATCAATATTTCAGGTTTGTGCCAGTTTAAATGCATTGAAATAAATATGATTATTTTGTATAAGTGATTTCCTAATCAAGTGCACTTTATGGACATCCTTAATTACTAAATTTATTTATGCATATCTTCATTTTATTTTGCTATTGTGATGTACCTTGATTCTATTGTATAAAGTGAGCAGAAATTTACCTTCATTTGTTGTGTAACTATCAAAAAATATTTTTATACTCAAGTAAGGCTATTACTTCACATTTGGTTTGGTTTCAATTTCTTTGTTTTCTCCCGTACAGAATTATGAAGTAGAAAATTTGCTCCTTGCATTTCACTTAATTTGTTGTAGTAGGTATATGTTAAACATATCTTGGCTTCACCATGTAACCATATGCACTGCAATTCAACACATCGTATGCTATTTAGTTCTCTAATCGTAATTTAATGACATTTAATAACATGTTTATGTTCTTACTCCTTAGGATAAAATTTAATAACATGTTTGTGTTCATACTCATTACGATATTCATGTGGTTTGCCATGCCTGACCAGCCTCAACTACTGCTTGATTGTTGTCTGCATTTTCTGTCAATTGCATTTTGTCTTGAACTGATATTAATATAGTTTAGAAAAGTATCAAGTTTTATGTAAATATTTCCAACAGAGTGATCTTATTACATGAAAAACAATCACCCAAGAGGCTGTCGAAGTCGTCTTGAATGCATCAAGAAAGAGAATTTCTGACTTGGCATCACAAACATCAGAACTGTCACAAAATGATTGAAATATGTCTCATGTTACTCGTGACATCTTATTCATGGCAACAGATCCTATGAGTTTGATGAACAAGCTGTAGTTTTGTATGTCCCTGGCAATGTTCAGTCCATAGATTCATTGCGTTCATAAGTACTTATATTATCAGTCTGCCTATATCGCAAGTTCACAAGGAATTTAAAAAGTAAAGAAAACAACAAGCAAATTCACCATATCGATATTGAAAACATATCCAGCTCCATCATCAGTTCGAAAAACTAAAAACTTAACTAACTTTTTAGTTTATCGAGCTGATGATGGAGCTGGACTCCGAAATGTTTTCAGTATCGATATGGTGAATTTGCTTGGTTTTTTATTTGCGTTCACCATTCCTGTTCACTATTATCTCGTCACATCGCGATACAAGTGTAGACCTCAGATCCATACTTTAAAAATTCGCTAAGTGAACGTAAGTACTTACGCTCTATTTTCTTGTCTTTGATTGGTGGATTTTGCTTGAAAGGCCGTCAATGATTGGCGGATGAACTTACGACCACTTAAATGTTTTTGGAAGTATAGGCCCAGGGGCCATGCTTTCAAAATTTGCTAAGTGAACGTAAGTACTTACGCTCTATTTTCTTGTCTACGATTGGTGGNCAGTAGTTAGTACTAAATGACAAGTAATTATTTGCTTGATCGTCAGAGCTATCATATGATATATCATAGTTCAAACAGTGCTTTAATATTGAATAGGACAATCTCTAATGATGGTAATAAATGAACGCAGGAAACTTAAAAGTTAAGTGACCATTATTGTCGAAATTGTTGTCTAAGTTGTGGTAATAATTGTTTAATTTTTGCAAGCTATGACAAAAAAGATCTTCCTGAATCACAAAGACGTTTGGAAGCATATTTTTGCCGGCCAGAACGCCTGCAAGAACAACACAGAACGTGTAGTGTCGGACAGCGTGTCTCAGTGTTGGAGCAACCTTGTTATAGCAATTATTGAGACAAAACACTTGGATGGATATTCAGCGGTCTCATGCTAGCAGTCATACAAAGAACCTGATGGCTACATTGCACTACTGACTGAAGATTTAAATTTGCTTAACTTGTTATGAGAGTGGAACGCCTGATGAAATAAATACTTAAAAACTACTGCGTAATCGAGAAGTGAAGTGCACTCTTAAGAGAAATTTAATTGCTAAATTATGAGTAGATGTAATGAAACAATACTGTATTCAAGACAACGTTTGAAATTGAAATGAAATTGATTAATAAATATTATTAGCTGAAGGCTACCTGAATGAATTATTTAACGATGATTTAACTGATTATATACAAATATTTTTATCCCTAGAAATATTTTAAAAAGTAGTTACTTGATCACCGATAACTGGTGATAGCTCTTTATAGGCGCTATTGGTATGATTAGTGACAGATGAGAGCTACCATGTATGAAGTACACTAGCAAACTTTACGAATTTTTAGTTTACAATTAAAATCAATACAAAATGAGAGTTCTAATGAGTCTGATGGATGCCTGAGTTTGTGATTATATATATTGTAAGGACAATGACGTGTCCGCAGAGAATTCTTCTTCCCTTCTCTCCTGCGAGTGTCCGCAGAGAATTCTTCTTCCCTTCCCTCCTGCGAGTGTCCACAGAGAATTCTTCTTTCGTTCTCTCCTGCGAGTGTCCACAGAGAATTCTTCTTCCCTTCTCTCCTGCGAGTGTCCGCAGAGAATTCTTCTTTCGTTCTCTCCTGCGAGTGTCCACAGAGAATTCTTCCCTTCTCTCCTGCGAGTGTCCACGGTACTGTTACTCTTCACCTATTCTTTCCTCGTACCTCTGAGGTGATAACTCTGCTTGTCCCTTACGGCGCTTCTGTGCGCAGGTCATTTTTCACATGCCGCAGCTGTTTGGGAGGAATCATTTTTGCTTACATTAATTTTATGAGTTTTGTGGTATTAAGCTTTTCAAGCATTAAACCAAAATATTAGTTAATTCCGTAAATATTATAACGTCACGTAATTTATGGAGGATATTGCTGTTAATTCCGGCATCCGGATCCGTGGTTTCAGGTCGACGAACGAGGACTGCAAGTACAGCGGGTACGACCGCGGCCACATGGCAGCTGCTGGCAACCATCGTCTCTCTCAGGATATTTGCCAGCAAACTTTTTTGCTCTCCAATATGGCACCGCAGGTTTTGACAATACACTAATGATGACGTACGTATACCGTATCTTGTTTCATCTTGCTACTCACGTAGGTTGATTCGTGGACTCCGAGTTATGGTTGATGTTTCCAAGTTTTCTGTAAATATTAATAATTTGCGTGACCTCATTCCCTTAATGAAATATTCCAATCCCAAACTAAATATTGAGTTAATGAACCAGTAAATGTGAGTGCAAAAATGCGCTGAAGCTTTAGCATACTTTTTGTCGTTGAAAGACTAAACTTCTTGACAGGTTGGCAAAGGTTTTAACCGCGACAAATGGAATGAATTAGAACAACACTGTCGGAAACTGGTGAGTCAGAGCCGCAATGTGTACGCATGCACTGGACCGCTGTTCCTGCCTCGCAAGGCTGATGATGGCAAGCTTTATGTCAAATATCGGGTGCTGTGGGATAACCACGTCGCTGTCCCCACACAGTTCTTTAAAGTGAGTTTATCTGAGTTATGTCGTGGCAAGTAGCAAATGCGTGACGGGGATGCTAGACTTTGATATGATGCGTAGAACTTTTTCATCGCTTTTACCGTCAAACCCTGGAGAAAATTTAGGAATTGATGTTGGAGAGATGTAATTATTAAGTTTGTTGATAAAGATAACATTAAAATTTTGCAAACTATGCTGATTAATTAGACTGTAAGCCTGACCAGATATCTTGAATCTGACGAGTTTTATTTTAATTCATGTGAAGATTTTATTATATGTTATACCGGGTATAACTCCTGCTGCGACTCAGTGCGGCAAAATAGAGATCACCGTCATCTTAGTGTGTTTTGGTTATATTTTTATATAGCTATGTCTAAAATGTTTGGCATATACATTATAAGTTTGCATTCAAGTTAATGAATTAAATTTTTCGCAGGTTGTTGTATGCGAGAGTGAGTCTGGCGAACTCTCCATGGAGTCATTTTTGATGCCGAACGCCGCCATTGATGACGCCGTTCCACTGAAGACTTTCCACGTAAGTGTACGTAATTATTGACTGTTATGAGAGGAGGACTTTCCACGTACAGTAAGTGTACGTAATTATTGACTGTTATGAGAGGAGGACTTTCCACGTAAGTCACGTAATTATTGACCGTCGTGAGAGGAGGACTTTCCACGTAAGTCACGTAATTATTGACCGTCATGAGAGGAGGACTTTCCACGTAAGTCACGCAATTATTGACCGTCGTGAGAGGAGGACTTCGCAATTTCTGAGAGTATCTTGAATGATTCAAAGTTCGTTGTAAAATGTACATTGTTAACGAGATTGTCACTACAAATGCTTTCTGATCACGTTTGATGATAGGTAGTTGAGTTTGCTCAAGAACTGGGTTACTTCTGTTAACCGTGGACATATTTTATTGGTACATTTTTTATGCTAACTTATCATGATATAAGAAGGCAATAATGATGTTCACGATAAAAACGGCATAGTGTAAGTTGTTTGTATTTGTTTGTGACAAGTTACGAGTTATAATGTTTAATGTTAGGTGCCGTGACTCTTGCCTTGTGAGCCATTGCTGTTCTGAACATTTTGTCTGTTGCAGGTTCCGTCCGAGGTTACAGAGAGGGCTTCTGGGCTGCTGCTCTTCGACCAACTTAACAAGAAACAATTCAAACTAATTAATGGAAAAACTGCTGCATGGATTTAGTTTATGCTAACGGTCGTTGTTACCGATGGAATATTGTTCACGAAAATTAATTCTGACTAGAATTGAAATATTGGTTTTCACTGATAGAACCTGCTGTATTATTCACCCCCTGTTAGCTGCCCTCAGCCCCTATACCCCCGCTCTTATTTTACCCCAGTTTGGGGTATAAATTTATAAACAGGGAATAAAACGAACGATTTTCTCCTCATTTTATTGCACGCTAATAATACGGGAGTCGGGCACGTTCTGTCCATGTCGGTCACGTTCTGTCCATGTCGGGCACGTTCTGTCCATGTCGGGCACGCTCTGTCCGTGTCGGGCACGTTCTGTCCATGTCGGGCACGCTCTGTCCGTGTCGGGCACGCTCTGTCCGTGTCGGGCACGTTCT